TCTACCTACAAAGGCATAAGAACTACCAGTACAGTAAATTGTGCATAGTCAAATGAATTTTCACATCCACACTGCTAATATTTCTCTGGGACTATAGAGATCGGTGGTCAATTCTGGCATAATAGATGTGATCACATGAAAGAAAACCTGTAGAATTACATCTGCAGAAAACATACGTGATTGTGAATGCCTGACTATGCCAATGCAAATAAACGAAAGTAGAAAAGATGTGCCAATATATTTTGAGCTGGGGACCACCAGTGGTAATGAATATGTGTATCACAGTCTCATAAACTTTATTCTGGATCATACACTACTTACTAATGACATATAGCCTGAGTAAACATGTATATTTGTAAGATAGCATAAGTTAGCAGTTCCGTATTTGAGCCAAGAAGAGCAGTAAGTGCAAGCTAATGTCAGGGATGATGCAGTCATCATAAGTAAGAACTCCTAGAAACCATGGGTTAACCACCTTCTATGTTGCTGGACACTAACTGTATAAGCCTGCAAAATGGCTCCATATTATAGATTGTAATTAAATTCACATCACTTTGATCCACAGAGGCACATAACTGTAATAACTGTTTATATTTTGGATTAATTTAAAAAGAATACTTCTATTGCATGTTAGGCTGGAAGTGCTTTCACTTAGCAGCTACTTGTGCAGTATGCTTCTTATTGTGAAAATGCAATTAATGGTATCTGACATTTAATTTTCTAATATAGGGAAAATCAATGAAAAATCCCATGTAACTGAGTTTTCTAGAATGTTGCTACTGACACCTAGTCAATTAGAAAGCATTTATTAAATCCAGAGTCTGTAAGAGATATTTAATAGACTGCATGGCCATTAAGGTATGCTGATATAGACAAAAAAATACCATATTGCCTGCCTCAGTAACTAACAGTAAATATATCTGCTATGTTCAAATGTACTAAGGTGAAAAGTAAAGTAGGTCACTTAGTACAGATAGACTTTCAGAGGGAGTTTTCTATAAACCCATGGATTTCTACAAATATAGTGGAGTAAAAGTATAGTGCTTATAAATAAAACACGAGAAAAATATAAGATCATTAGCCCACTTTTGGTCACCTATTTCTAAATTGGAATGCAAAATTAGAGACAGAACAACTATCTCACATTAATGCAGCGCTCTAAGTGACAGATTGCTGCCCCTTTGGGGACATAAGCAATCAGAGTTAGAGTTTGATAACTTAAATATAATTCTACGAACCAGATTAGATTTGAGTGCAAGTATTAAATACTGATGCAGCTACTGAGGTGCCTCTTGGGGATTCTTAAACTAGAGGTCAAAGGAGAACAATGACAAATATAATCACATGAATAAGCTATAGAATTATATTCTATGTCTAAGAATTTGAAGTACATATTCATTAGTGACTTAGATGGCAAAATGAACTGTGATTATGTATGAAATCTATGAACGATACTAATCAACAACACAGGGCATAAAAATGCTTTAGGGACCAGGACCAGGATTCAAAATTACTGTAACAATCTTGAGATATGGTCTGAAAACAGGAAGATGAAACTTAAGATGTGTGTCAAGTGCTGCAGTTTGGAGGAGGAAATCACATTCACCAACACTAGTTTGTGAATAGCTGAGTAAACACAAATGCAAGGGAAAAGGTCCAAGAGGTTAGAGTGGAAAAGAAATTAAATGAAAGTCAACAATGAAAGTCAAGGCAAATCACATTCTGACATGTTAATAGTAGTGCTAGATGTAAGATACCGAGGGTAATGTTTCCACTTGATTCAGTATTGGTGAAATGTCAGCTGTAAAATACTATGGGTACATCTACCAGCAAATAACTTGGCTCATGGAACCTGGCTCTCCATCATCACCACTACACGTAGGATAGCTCATTCTCAGGCTTTCATTTCAGAGTAAACTTGCTAGTTCCCTTTGAGATAAAAATGAGTGCAGTTTTAGAATAACATTCAGTTCAGAGACCATACGCTACAGGCAGCAAGGATGAGACTTCACCGGGCTCTCGATGCCTTGTATAGTATTCCAACCACCACCAAACCACTCCCCCAGACATCCCCATCTCATGGTCTTACCCAAGGCAAGCAACAACTGCATGCCATA